TTTTACAGCAAAATTCAGTAATTTCAATAGGAATTCACACGATCGGGAATTTTGTGTCAGAGATTTTGTTGTTTGATTTTGATTTTGTTGTTTGGGTTCAAGTTGGTCATGCAAATTCACTGAAAATAGTTTGAAAGTGATTTCTGTGTGTGTTGTGCTTTATACATTGCTACACTACTGACAATAAACAATGGACTTTTTTGCCTGCAAAATTTTGCTAATACTTCACCTCAGTGGACTATTATTAGCAGGAGGCAGCTAAGATCCAACAGACCACCATTAGAAATCCCTATAAAAGAGTATAAAAAGCAATATTTTCTCCGAAACACTATATAGCAGGTTCCTCAAATCTTGCCATGGAGGGCCAATGTGCTGCTGAGTATAGCTCCAACCCTGATCAAACTCACCTACCTGTGATTTTCTAATGATCCTGAAGACATTGATTAGCTTGCTCAGGTGTGTTTGATTAGGGTTAGAGCTAAACTCTGCAGGAAAGTGGCTCTCGTGGGTCAGATTTGAGGATCCCTGCTATTAGCCTTTAATTAAAGTTATAGTTCACCCAGAAATTAAAATTCTGTTATTAATTACTCACCCTCATGTCGTTTCAAACCCGTAAGACCTTCGTTCATCTTCGGAACACAAATTAAGATATTTTTGATGAAATCCGAGAGCTTTCTGACCCAGACAGCGATGCAACTGACACGTTTAAGGCCCAGAAAGGTAGTAAGGACATCGTTAAAATAGTCCATGTAACATCAGTGGTTCAACCTTAATTTTATGAAGCTACAAGTATACAATATTTTTGTGTGCAAAGAAAATTAAAATAACGACATTCAACAATTTCTTCTCTGTGTCAGTCTTCAACACGCATTCACAAGAGTACCACGATGCATGTGTGTGATGCTGCTGAAGCAGGAGCCAGTGCTCTGACGTATTCTCATAGCTTCATAAAGCTTCATAAAATTAAGGTTGAGCCACTGATGTCGCATGGACTATTTTAACGATGTCCTTACTACCTTTCTGGACCTTAAACGTGCTGTCTATGGAGGGTCAGAAAGCTATTTTTATTAATGACAGAATTTTCATTTTTGTGTAAACTATCCCTTTAAGAACATTAGCTAACATTATTACCTAATATAGTAGATCATTTGCAAATGTTCATTTTGTTCAAAATGACATGAAAATATAAGAAAACTGTTCATAACTTTTTTCACAGACTCGCTGGTGTGTTTTAATTCACCCCCAGGAGGCTGAAAACTGGATTTAATGTTTGATAATAAGCCTGTGTTTTATGTGTTTTAACGTGTATCCTTAAAGTAAATGAAGATGTTTCCTGTTGAACAGACAGTTCCATAACTTTACAATATCAAATGCTAAAAACAATGAGATTTGGTGTCCTTAAATTCAGCTGCATTGAGTGAGGTAAACGCATATGGTTTTTAATTCTCTTTCATGGGCACGAAATTAGCCAGTCCCATCTGGTGCACACTGGCTCATTCAGACATTGCAATAAGCATATTGCTGTTCGTTTGTATGTTTCTCCATTGGCACCATCTGCATTAATGGAAACTGAGACAAAAGGAAATAATGACAGTTCACACAATCATATGTTGCTCAGCGTTCCTGCAGTGGTGGATAATGGAGCAGAAAAGAGTTCAAGCTTGATTAAATGGATTCACTAGCAACTGTGAACCAATTTCTGAAGGATGCTGGCTGGAAATCGCAACAGAAGGCAATAACAAAATTGTCTAATTGCCATCAGTTGACGGAGAACAAATTGTTTTAGTTGAAAAGACCACGCCAGAGATCTGCAAGTAGACTTTGGTGGCCCAGTTTAATATGAAGATAAAAATCACAGCTGAAGGCAAGAGCACTTATGCTCAGACAGACATTTGCATAACTAAATTAAAGTTAGGCTCTTTTTATGCAATCAACATATTTTTCAACCATAGAGGACATGTTCAACAAGAAATGTGTTATTTATTTCAGCAGTTATTAAGGTTAACCAACCTATAAAAGTTAAGGTAAAAGTAATGGATTTTTTATGCATTGCAAACCTTGATTATCCCATAATTCATGAGCTGTCTCCTTGATTTCTTAATCAAGTAACACACATTTTCAACTTCAAATTCAGTTCATTTTCAATTCATTTTCCATTTCCCCAGTGATCAGCTTTAAGGTCCCAGACACAGAAGTAAACATTTTCAGAAGAGCAAGAGGGTATAGTCAGACTTCACCTGGCTGAGGAATTCGATTCGTTCAATGAAAGGAAGAGCGCAGCTACCCACAATGCCGTCTGTCCTGACTTTGGTTTGTTTCATTTGACATGCTTGGCAGGTCAGTGAACTGAGGTCTGTGGCGCTCATGAGCTTCCTCCCGGCTCTTTCTCTTCCATCAACTCAACACACTACAAATATTGACAAGAAACGGCTTTGAATTTGGCAGTGTAGGGATATTGGGGGGAATGTGTCCCTTTTGGTGTTTTTGGTGGTTATAGAGAGGAAATTCATGCAAATATGTCATGGCCAATGCTGCCTCCTCCATATCCTCGAGTAAACCCTGTCTGCCTTGAGCGAGAGATCTGTCTCAACAACACATGCTAAAGGAATGAACCCCTGATAAAACCCTGGACAAGTCTTGAGAAAACCAGCTGGATGGAATAACCAGAGCTGCTCTTGAGACTCTTGAAGAATAGATCTCAAATCTAAAGGGCAGTTTTGAGAAGAATCCAGCCACCTCTGGAAATCAGAAGGCTGGTCAGATGCTTGACTTTTGCTTGAGTCTGATGTTTGTTTGAATGAGGTTTCTGAGAGCCACTCAAAAGCACAGGCCCAGTGAAATGGCCAATATACAACCTTTTTGTTTATACTATATTTTGTATTACTATATATGCACAATATTTTGTTTATAATACTATATAATCTTCACAGAGCGTTTCTCCACTCCTGGAAGCTTCTGCCTATAAGTCTCAGCTTGTTTCACAAGTTCACAACAAGCACTTAAAGTTAAAGTTTTTAACATACAGTGCGACATCTGCTGTTCATGAATAATCTCTCCAGTTTCTCCGGTTGGTTTTCTGTCTTAATGTAAAATGCTTTAGGCAAGAGCGCCACACACTGCTTTCAAGATATTATTTCGTTTAATGAGGCATAAAATGTCGTAACTCTATTCAATAAATCTATTTCAAATGCTTAAATGCATTCCACTCATATGATTCCTTGGAATCAACACGTTATTTCTATAATGATTTATTTCTCTTATATAATCAATATTTAATTTAGTCTGTAGTGAACCCTTCATTTAATTTAGTAGTGTGACGTAATTCCACTATTACACAATTTCTTCTTTTATATCAAATGCAATTTTTGTTCTTCTTCTTCTTAGTTTAGATTAGTTTACATGTCATATTATTACTTTGACACTTTTATTATTACTTATCGATGCAGATAAAAGATCATTCATTATGAAATATTTATTAATAATAACAATAATAAAATGCATGTGATGAAAAAGAAAAACAGTGTTATTATTTTAGAAGTATTGTTAATTATTCTATCTTAAACCTAAATGAATGGCTCACTGCCGGCTGAAATATTATTTTTATTAGTAGTTATAGACTACTAGTAGTTTAGATTATTAATTTACACTTTTCTTACTGTTTTATTATTACTTTGATCAGTGCAACATGTGATTATTGTTAATTACCTAAATTAATTATTATATTACAAAATATCTACATCAAATTTCTTGCTAAAAAGTGTTTCTTTGTCCTGTGCAGACCAGGTAAAACCATATATATGAATATCTTTTGTTGAATGACTTTTCAAACAAAACTAATCTATAGAACAATTTGCCACCGGAACTATCTCACGAATGTAAAAGATCAGGGGACACGTTTACAGACGCGCTAAGTGCAGCGCTTCCGGTTCACTGTTGGCGTCTGTCAAACGGGTGGCACAAGGTTAGTTTTTTAGCCATACAGCTCTTTTCGGATTTGTCTCATGCTTTGAGGACACTTGCCACTGGAGTTTTTAGCGTGTAGAGATCTGTGACCGTCCTGCCACTCTTGCGTCCCGTGAACGCTGTGTAGATCAGAGGACAACAGCGGAGCCGCAGCGATGGAGTAAAGGACAGCGAGAGTCAACCCCCTGAGGTATGATTGTTTATCATGCATAATATTATTACCTTATGATGGGACATACAGTAGTTAACTCACTGACATGTGATGTTATAAGTTGCACTGAGTAAATACAGCTTGATAAAATAACAACCGTCTTCATTTCAGGCTGCAAAACAACAAAAAGTGATTATTTGTCACTTTATTTCCTTCGGACAAATATCATAGATGCAATGTATATCATATTTAGAATTTGTTACTTATTATATATATGTGTGTGTATTACAATTAAACTAATATTATAAACTATTTTTAAAAAAGGCAGACAAATGACAAAAAGGAGATCTCTTATATTTAGTATGGTTTTTATAGTAACTGTATTATTAACTGTTTTTGCATAAACTGTATAATGTGATATATTTTTGAAAGGGATGTTTAGATTATGTTTATCAGTAATACTTATACGTGTATTCGCTTCTGATTTTTTTCAAGGTATGATGAAAGGAGCAACGAATTAATAAAAGAAGAGCTTGGTATTGCGTATCTCATCGTTGATGGTATTCCTAACATGATCCCACAAGATGCAAGAATGATTCATAATAGCAAAGCTGAAAAACCCACTGAATCTTGAGTTTATAAATCAAATTCGTCATTATTCGTTTTCTGCCACTATGTTTTTCTCCTTGTCTACAGTGACTGTTCTTGTCCCACTCATATCCTTGTCTGGACTGTTTTACTCTGCAGCTGTGGATGAAAATTTCCCTCACGGCTGCACGAGTGCAAGCAGTGTGTGTTTTTACAGCCTGCTGTTGCCAGTAACAATTCCTGTGTATGTTTTCTTTCACCTTTGGAAGTGGATGGGAATCAAGTTGTTTAGACACAATTAAGACTGTAGTTTAATTTTTTCCACAGACTATTTTAATTGGACAAATTGTTGTGAACAATGCTTGCTTGTAAACACAGTGAAGATTCATATTTAAGAACATTGAATAAACATTGAAGCGAACAATGTAAAATACAGAATAAAATTACGCAAATAACAAAGCTTTGACTTTTCATGTATGTGCACAGAACTCTGCTTTTTTTCCATTGTGAATTTGTGAATCTTAGCTTTGTCTGATTTTACTTCTTTATCTTTTTCTCAACACTTTCCGTGAGCTTCATCAAAGGGCATATGGGCTTGGGTGAATCTTCGCCCTTCACCTTAAAAAAGAAAGACTCGTTCAAGCGGGTCTGGATGACCTTCAGCTGGAGCAGATCACCTTTGGCCTTTGGCACCGTATCGCCGCCGTCTTCACTCGACGTGTCTGATATCTTCAGCTTGGGTGGTTTCGCAGAATCTACAGCGGATTGTTTTGGGCCGTGCATTTGTCTTGTTCTGTTCGGCAGGCTCAGGTCTACCGGTTCTTCTGGGCTTTTGCATGTGTTCTGCTGCTGAAACCTGAGAGAGGTGGAGAGTGCTGGTAAGGTAAAGAAGTTTTCAGTTTGAGTGGTTGCTTCAGCTGTCGACCTAGATGAGCGATTCTCTGGCGCCTTCACGGTAGTGGCCTCACTGCAGCTTGAGGTGCTGGAGATCTCCACATATGGATCCAAGAATGATTTCTGTGTAATAAACAGGTCTTGGCTGTTCATTTCTTCAGCTGTGCTGGATTCCAAGCTGCTTTCACCAACAAAACGTTTGCTGTGGCTTGTCTTTATGAATTCTTCATCATTTGTCTTTGCAGCTTTGCTCTGCTCAGGTAGCAAGTTGAAAATTACTCTCTTTTTACGTTTCACGCTTCTATAACACTCCTTCTCGGTTGAATGTGGTGTCTCCTGATCAGGGGAGATGTAGATAACAGGCCGAATTTGGTGCATACCTTTGGGTTGTTTGAGCTGTTTATTTAATTTAGGTTGCTGAAAGTCTTCCTTCGGTTTGCTTTTCTTCTTTGGCTTTTTTCTTCTCTTGATGTCTTGCATTTGTGTAAGCACTGCCTCATGGCAGCCATCGTGCAACAAAAAATCAGGCACACGCTTTTTGCTCTTGTCCTTTTTTTCCTTTTTCATTTTCTTGTTTTTGTGTTTCTTGGATGCTTTGAAGGCACTTTCAACGTTGGAAATATTCTTCATTGTTGGGAGAGAAGCCATTTCTTCTACAAAATCAGAGTAACAAAAAAGAAAAGGGGTTATATTAACAATTGTTATTATTATCAGTGTTGAAAACAGCTGTGCTACTTAATATTTTACTGGGAATGGTGACAGCTTTTTTTATGATTCTTTGATTAATAAAAAGTTACACCAAAGAACAGCATTTATTTACTATCACTTCTGATTAATTGAATGCATTCTTGCCAAATAAGTTTTTTTTAAAACATTGATAATAATAATAATAATAAATGCTTCTTCAGCACCAAATCAGCATATTAGAATGATTTCTGAAGGATCATGTAACACTGAAGACTGGAGTAATGATGCAGAAAATTCAGCTTTGCATCACCGAAGTAAATGACATTTTAATATATATTTAAATAGAAACAGTTGTTATAAATTGTAGTAATATTTCACAATGTTACTGTTTTTACTGTATTTGATCAAATAAATGCAGCTTTGATGATTTCTTTCAAAATTATTAAAACAACCCAAATTATTCCAAACTTTTCATTGGCAGTGTATGTACAGATATGTGCATATGTAAAACTGCATGAATATAAATATGTATTTACAAAACGTGTATCTATCGCTATATACATGCATGCTTAATATATCTGGTGCAATTAAACAAACAATTATGTAATCTGATGGGGAAAACCTGAAGGCTCTACCATAAGTTGTAGGATAATTGTTAGTGAATACTCACATGCATCACGAGTGAAATGTCCTATATGATCTGTTTCTTTTCCCCAACAACACCTGTTAATGACATAAAATGCATGTAATTCAAATGTGTGGAATTATAATTTTTCAACTATTTTTCAAATCTTTTATAACACCTACCTGATTTAGATTCACCTTTTCTCTCAGACAGATGGACCTTAAACGTACAAGTAAGTGCAAAAATGTAACAGTAATGAGGAGAGCAGACTTGTGGTTACATTTGTTGAGAAATGTTGCAGCTAAAGTTGAATGCAACAGTTCATCGCGACGTCATTCTCCACAGCAACATTTGTTACAGAAAGCGACTTGTTTAACTGCTCGCCCTTAGCGACCAAATGTCTGACAAAGTGCCTTTTATTTAAAAGTATTTCATGTATTCTTGTGTTTTGGCCCTAAACCAAAAGGAAAACTGTCATGTACTTACCCGTTTTGCTAATTGACGAAATACACTCACATATTTTTGCGCCAATTACCGCTTCCGTGTATTGCCGACTGCGCATGCGTTGTGCGACATTTTCGAGCATGATGAACAGCACAAATTCTAATCAATTAAAAAAAAAAAAAAATGTTAATAATATTAAATAAATTCAAAAAAATGAACTACGTAAAATGACAGTTACTGCTAAGAAAAACTGTTCGCAGTGGTGTGTACTGATAATGTTCCATTTCATAAATCACGCTGTTACCGTGACGACGAAGAGCTAAGTAACCTTTCTATCTTCAGTCCATTCAAGAAAGTTCTCTGTGCGTCACTCAGCTTGTCAGGCAACTGTTTTCACTGCTGGAGAAATCCCTTTCTCACATAAAGGGCGCTTTTTGTAGCTTTTCTTCTTAGAATCACGTCAGCAAACAGCAGCTAAAATGATTTTTACTGCCATTCTTTTTACGGTCCAGTGGGAATATCGTATGTGAACCTGCATTAAATGTGTTACTGATGTCTTTCCGCTCCTTAAACAGTTTCTGTGAAGCTATAAGGTTGAATCAACCAGCGTCACTAGTTGAAAAAGGTCACCAAGTTCAAGTTTTATTCGCCAAAGGAAAGACATAAATTTGGATTGAGTTCTTCCCAAAATCTTATTAGAATACATTTACATTTTTTGTTTGCTTGCCACGATGTTGTAATATTTACTGTGATTTTTATATGATTTGATTATCATTTGTTCTGTGACTTATATTGCATACTGCACTTATTAGCATACTGCATTATTTTTTTCTGTTTGATTGGTAGTACATTCTACATTTTTTCTGTTTATACTATGCATCTATAAATACAAAAAATACATTTCAGACCTGTCTTCTATTCTATTCTAATACTTTGCACATTGTACATATTTCAAATATTTAAACTATGTATCACAAAAATAAACGCTAGAACTGTCTCTATTCTGTTTTATTCTATTCTATTCTAATACATTCAACACATTTTCTGCTTATACTATGTATCATAGCTGTAAATACAAAAATACTTGCCAAACCGGTTTCTATTATATTCCAATACTTTGCACATTGTACATATTTCCTATATTTATACTATGCACCACAGCTGTAAATACAAAATACACACCAGAACTGTCTCTATTATATTATTATATTCTATTCTTTCAGTCTTTCAAACATCTAACTTTTTTTTTTCAACAAAAGCAAATCTTGTTGCATTTGATTTTGATTGCTATAAAAATCACATTTCACAAATTACATTTATAAAATATTGTAATAAGATCTTAAAACATTTTTAGAACCAAGATTTAATGCTAATACCCCCTTTTTGTGACTAGGCTGTTTCACCTGTCGTCAGATGCCAGCTATTAATATATATTGCCATTCATTTTAGTCATCAAATGTTGTATTCAAGTCAACCCATGTAATAAACATTTTACCAGTCAAAAAACATTGAGAAAAACTAAAAAATAGCCACATGGTGACACTTAATATAGATTCAATTCACTGTGTCACAAGGGCCTGCATATGGCTTTTACACCTGTGGGATGATTGCATTGGGTGTCCTTAGGTGACTTGATATTCTCCCCCTGAATTCTCCTGAATAATCATGTGTAGTGGTAACACACACTGTTGATGACATGACCTGCATTGATAAAGCATGAGGTAATGAGAACTACAGTTCTGGGGTTGAAAGGTCCCCCCTCCTGCCTCTAAAGGGTCTAAATACTGCTGAGGATTGTTAGGACTGTGCTGGGGATCTCATTCAAGGGTCAAAGGTCTATTTATTTGGTGGGTGTCATCTAAACAGGCCATGCCCACTTCAGCCCATACACAGTACTGCAGAAAACCAGGATAGGGTCAAACATCTTCAACATGCGGGCCTTGTCAGCCACAAATCTTGCAAATCTGGTATGTAAACAACTTTAATTGCTTGCCACCTGCGAAGTTTGTTTTACAGAATGCCAGAAGATGAAACAGTAGCTCATGGACAGGTGCAATGCACAAGATGCAGTGAACATCTCTAGAATAAGCAGTATTGGATACAGCTTACATGAACTTTGCTGGGTATTGCATTAAAACGCAGATATTGGGTGACAATCCTCTATAATTTACAGACTGAAGGAATGCTTATTGTCTCACATGTCCTCAGACTGCCTGCTCCCTGTCGTCATACACCCCATTTTTTCCCCAGTCAGAAGCCCTTAGCTTGGAGAGAAACCTTAACCACGAGGTAAGATCTATGGGTCAGACCTGTTTAAGTACTCAAACACACTCTGTGTGTCATGACATAGCCATTCCTGGGCTACATTTAGAAAACTTCGCTCATAGTTACCTAATCTGTCATCCAGTGACCATAAAAGTAGGACAGAGCCTTCCACCTCCCTGGGTGCCCCTCTGGACACCTGTGAGTGCAGCAGGTTCTTTGGCTGGATTACCACCTGATAGAAAACATGTAGCAGCTGCTAGTTGCAATTTATGAATGTGCTTTTTTGTACAGTTTCAGAGGAAATCTGGAAAAGTTGTTATTGGTCTAGATGGATGCAGTATTATTTCAGAGATGTTGCACACAGATCCATGGAAAAGTATGCTTATAAGCAGGGTTGTTTATACAAAATATATCTCATGCTATCAATATTTACAATTTATGCAGCCTTTTCTAATGTCCTAATGTTAAAGTGTTGGCCAAACATGTAGATCATAATAAAATCAGGCACAGGCAGCAAACAATTTAGATTTCAGTGGGAATTTTGGTAATAATAATATTTGCTGCTCATAATATATAATATAATATTTTAGAAATATTTTGCTATCTGGTTTAAATAACTGAGTATTAAGGCGTCGGTAGTACTACCAAAATAAAATGACATTTATTTATATATTTATTCATTCTCTATGAACATTTTTCTCCTTTGGAATGAAAAACTTTTTGGAGTATTTTATATTTTTATTTGTTTCTTGTTTTATAATTTGTTAAGGCTCAGGAAATTGTAGGCTACCACTGAGTAACGCACAGAAGTTCACATTTGGGGGCGGGTTTTCAAGTGAAGGTGACGAGGGCTGAATTATTGGTGGCGTTGAAGAGGTGTTGTCACTCACGCGCATTCTTCATCAAGGCACAGGGTGACATCATCACTAATAATGAAGGCGGCTCATCAATGGACACAGTGCTATAAAAGGAACTCACCCTGAGAACTGTGAACCGACTCTGATGTGAACTGAAAGGCTGATGCACGAACTCCTGCAATCTGTATAGCAGCATGGTGAGTTGAGTATTTAGTAAATGGTGTTCTTGTTGTTGTTTTATTTTAAAATAACTTGTCACTACAATTAAATATTACAGCTATAAAATTATGATTACAATAAACTCATTTACGTTTAATTCACAGGTTCATAAAATGGTTTCCATTCATCTTGGTTTTTTGGAGAAAACAGTTGTACTTTTCTCCATCTGCTTATTATTCTATTCAACACATGCAGATAGCAAGCCACTGGGGTGAGTACACTGTACAGTACATTCATATTTTTTCCAATTCAGTAAAAAAAAAAAAAAATTTCGTTTGAATGTATGATAATGTAGCCTATTTATTTATTTATTGTTATTTATTATTTTTTTCATCAAAAGCAAAAGGGCTATCAATGAAGTCCAGCTAATGCACAACCTCGGGGTACATAAACATGTGGAACTGAGACAAGACTGGCTTCAGATGAAACTGCGGGAAATCCACACTGCCTCAGAGAAGAACAACGAAGACAAAACAGGACTTCTTCCAGATATTATTCCCAAACTGACGGATCTAAATCCAATGGAAGCTGAAGATATCATTGCAGTTTTGGAAAAACTTATGAACCCATCGTAAAAACAGAATTAGTTTTATGTGATTTACTACTCAGGGACTGAAGTCAAGCCATTCTGTTCAGCCTTAATAATTGCATTAACAATATTTATTTATTTTCTATAGATAATTTATTTCAATTTTTATGTAGTTTCCATCATTTTTAGCGGCTAAGCCGTAGCAGCTCAAAGCTCTTCTATGTATTTATTCGTTATTTGATCGTAACATAGGCTAGATCTATTAACTGAACCCAGAAAAAAGGAAAGGCAGTCGGACCAAATGTTTCTTAAGAAAAAAATTGAGAAAGTATTTTTTCAATGTCTTCTATTTATGATGACAATATAAAATAAACATTAAAAAAATTCACTGTTGTGTTAAATGTCTCACATCGCGCACCTTACATTTAGGTTTTAAATGTATTTCTACTTTTTTCGGTTTTGTTGTTTTTCTGTTATAATAACTTTAATTATTATTATTTAAATACACCTTCTGTATTCTATTTTTGTATGTGCCTTTTATGGCACCATGTCTCAAAAGCAGCTTGTTCACCCACAGCATTTGATTGTACGTAAGGTGGTTTCTATGGCGACGTCCCGTGTGCTCTCGCGAGATTCGGCTTAGTTACTTTATCTCCTTGGTTAGCCATGTAGCATCCCCATATCTGTCAACGGTGTGTCTCATCGTGAATGGTGAGGAACAATCTAAAGCAAAAATCATGCTAGCTATCAATTTCTGTCAGAAAGATCAGCGTTTAGCAGAGACAGGTGAGAGATCGTCTGTGTTTGTTTAGCTCTCACTTTTTAACGCTAACTTATAAGCTAACTAACGTTAACGTTAGATAGCTTAGTAGGTAAACCTAGATTGGATTACTTGGTCAGATTTGTGGGCTTTTTGAAAACTTTATTTGCTACTAGTTCAACAAATAATTAAACGAATACTTGTGGAGTTGTACTTCTACTTAAACATGATCTCCCATATTCTTTTATTTATTTTTATTTATTTATTTTAGTAATCGGAACCACAAGGATGATATTACTTATTTTTCCATAAAGAATAATAATATTAATAATAATAAATATTATTTAGATATTGAATAGTAAAGAAAAAAAATAAAACGGTCCAATTTTAATTGTCCATTAGAAAAAAAAATCCAGTACACAGTGTCCGCGGGTCCTTAAATGTCTTAAATAATGTTTTCCTAATATAAGGCCTTAAAAAGTCTTACATTCGGACTCGATGGGTCTTAAATATTTTTGGTCACATTACCGCTAAAATAT